CTCTCAGTCTGTCACTCAGGCTGGAGTGCAGTGGCAGAATCTCAGTTCACTGCAACCTCCACTTTCCGGGTTCAAGCAGTTCTCCTGCCTCAGCCTCCTGAGTAGCTGGGACTACAGGCGCCCGCCACCACGCCTGGCTAATTTTTATAGTATTAGTAGAGATGGGGTTTCACCATGTTAGCCAGGCTGATCTCAAACTCCTGACCTCATGATCCGCCGGCCTCGGCCTCCCAAAGTGCTGGGATTACAGGCGTGAGCCACTGGGCTCGGCCCCTTCCTTCTTTATTTTATTGAGTCTTTCCCTGTTTCATCATGCCCTCAAGCGTAAATTCTGGCATCCTTTCCCCCAGGCATCCACTAACCAGGCATCCTCAGCCCCTGCTGTGGCCTGGCCGTGTGGGGTCTGTCTTGTTCCCTGTCTGCCTTCTGCTATGGAGCTCACTGGACTAGCATTGCTCATGGAGTTGAAGGTTGGCCAAAGGGGCTACTGAGCACTTGAAATGGGGCTCTGATTAGAAACGTTGGTACGTGAACAATACACAGCTCATTTCAAAATCTCATTGTGGGAATAGACAAACTTTAACTCCCTCATGAGGCATTTTATATTAAGTATATGTTGAAATCATATGTGAGATAATGGAGCTAATGCAGACATTAAAATGTCTTCCACCAGTTCTTGCCGCCTTTTAAGCGTGTGGGGACTGGAAACACTTGTGCTTCACTCCTGAGTCCTGGGTGTTTCTGAGGCCAGCACTGCTGTAGGCCAGGCCTGCCCAGCACATAGACAACTCCCACCGCAAACACACTCTGAAAAGTCTCCTGCCAGGGTGGAGGGGACTGCAGGAGTGGGTGGGACACGACAGGGTGGGTGAGAGGTCAGTGGCCTGTGTGGACAAGATTTTGGGAAAGAAAGTCAAGAGTGAGGGTGCTGGGCTCTAAGCAAGGCCTTTTGGGAAGAGACAAACCCCCTCCACCATCCGATCCCAGGAGAGTCAGGGAGGAAGATCTGGGCCATGGACTTAAAAAATGTGGGAGGAGGTTGGGCGCGGTGGCTTATGCCTGTAATCCTAGCACTCTGGAAGGCCAAGGGGGGCGGTTCACGTGAGGTCAGGAGTTCGAAACCAGCCTGGCCACCATGGTGAAACCGTGTCTCTACTAAAAGTAGAATAAAAATTAGCCGGGTGTGGTGGCGGGCACCTGTAATCCCAGCTACTCAGGAGGCTGAGGCAGGAGAATCGCTCGAACCCAAGAGGCAGAGGTTGCCTGAGAGAGACTCTGTCTCAAAAAAAAGAAAAAAAGAAAGACATGTAAGAGGAAAATATACACAGGAGAGCCAACGCCAGGCACATCACTTATTGTGTTTTCTGCATTCCCAGCTGCTTAGCTCCTATTTGGGGTGTAACTAGGACTTTGGCACTACCTGGTTTCGGAAGACGCCCGTCCTCCAGGGGACAGTTGAGCGCTGCTTTATAATTTCCACGGCGAAGCACAGCCAGGTTTCATTCCGACCATAGGCTTTCCGTAGGTTTTTAAAGTGGAAGTAGAATATGTGTGGATCCATTGCCTTCATCGGGTTTCTGAGGGCACAAGAGAGAAATCCCAATGCAGAGACTCCCCTCCCCGGAGTCCTGGGGGCTGATGCCCACTGAACACCACTTCCTGGACGGCCCTGGGCTCTGGGCCTCCCCCATCCCTCCACAGCCCTGAGAATGTCTGCTGCTTTCCCAGGCAGGAAGATTGGGAGAGAGAAAGAGGAGGGGATACTGGGGATACTGGCAGGGGCAGCAGGGCCGGGGTGTCCTCTCCCAGCTGGAACCCCAGCTCTGGGGCTACCAATGGACACCCTCAACCTCCCAGTTTTTCTGCCACACATCTCCCAACCCATTAGGAAAATGCAACAGACAATAAAACTCTTCACCCTGAAATAGTTGCTTGAACATTTCAGCTCAATGCCTTCCCCACATTTTACCTTCTGATGATGATGATGATGATTTTTATATTGGGATCACACCAAATTTATTCTTTTTTTTTTTTTTTTTTTTAACATAGGGTCTCACTCTTTCACCCAGGCTGGAGTGCAGTGGCGCAATCTCGGCTCACTGCACTCTCCGCGTCCTGGTTTCAAACGATTCTCCTGCCTCAGCCTCCCAAGTAGCTGGGAATATAGGCGCCCACCACCACACCTGTCTAATTTTTTGTATTTTTAGTAGAGACAGGGTTTTACCATGTTAGCCAGGATGGTCTTGAACTCCTGACCTTGTGATCTGCCCGCCTTGGCCTCCCAAAGTGCTGATTACAAGCGTGAGCCACTGTGCCCTGCCCTAATTTTTGTATTTTTAGTAGAGATCAGGTTTCACCATGTTGGCCAGGCTGGTCTTGAACTCCTGATTTCGTGATCTGCCTGCTTCAGTCTCCCAAAGTGCTGGGATGAGAGGCATGAGTCACTGTGCCCGGCTGGCTGAGGCCACTATCCCAAGTGCTGCATATGAGCTCATGGCATGTGCCTGAGGACTGCAGGGACCATCCCTATTTTACAGAGGAGGTGCCAGAGGCGTACAGAGGCCAGGTAATCTGCCCGAGCCACAGAGCTGGGGCAGCAGATCGAGCTGGGGCCCCTTTCCATGCCAGCCCTGTCCAGCCTCTGCATCACGGGCCTGCAGCGGGGAGCTGTCGGGAACCGGGCTCTCTTCTTACTAAACTTTAAAATAAGAGCATTACTCCTGATCATCATATTTTTTCCTACATTCCAGGTTACAAGTGTCATTCTAAAAGGCGAATGGTGCTTACGGAGGAGGAGCCTGTGTCTGGGGTCATGTGCATCCTCCTCTGCTCACACTGGAGGCATCTTTGGAAGAAATGGCTTATTTTCTAGTACGGAGACCATTCCTTCCCCCACACCCTCTCCTAAGACTTTGTATTGAAACAAAGTAAATCTTACAGAAATTCCATCAAAGCACTGAGAACAAAATGCCTGATTGCCCCCATCATCCTTTGGTTCAATTCTCCCAGTTCCAGAGCTCAGGAATGATGGGAAGCACACAGAGGGAGCACCCTCCCAGGGTGGGGAGCACCAGCCCGGCGGTGACTTTGACTTTCCGGGAGAGTCTCAGCAGGGGGCCTGGGCTGGGGCAGGTCGGGGAGGCGGCCCATTCAGAAGCAGCAGTGGGGCGACAACATAGCAAGGCAAAGAGCCTGACTGGGAGTGGGAGCAGCAGAGGAAGCAGAGAGTAGAGAGCCCAGAGCTAGGGCTGGGGCAGGGGGGAGGCCAGGGCTGAGGTCCAGCAGGGCCACCAGACAAGATGAGGCAGCAGAGGCCCTGTGGGCAGAGCACACAGTGGTCCCTGATCTGGGGCTTCATATGCAGCCTCCTTGGCAGGCTTGTCCTGGCCTTGATGTTAGTCCTGGGCTTGGGTTCTATTTCTATCTTCCAGGGCCCTTGTTCCAGGAGGCACCTGCGCTGTGAGTGACCTCCCAGGCCCATCTGAGTGGAGGCCTCACTCCATGCTGCCTTCTCACCTGGATGGGAGGACCTCCAGAGGGACCCCTGGATCCTGCCCTCAGGAATCATCCCAGGGACACCCCCTACCCAGCAGCTATGTGGTAGGGAGGGAGAGTGAGAGGCAGATGTCTGCCTCCCCCCATGCCCTCACACTCAAAGGCCACCATTGGAGGGAGGAATAGCAGGTGGGAGGTGACCCTCAGATGTCCCCCCACGATGCCACGCGTGCTCCCACACTGAGCTCCTTCCTTCCACATCTCCTGCCCAGAGTTGTTCCCTGGCAGGCTGAGCTCTTATCCCTATGTCATGGAAGGGTGGATGCTGGTGTCCCCGGCCACCCTGTCTTGCAGTTTTCTCCTCTGGTCTAAGACCCAGGTGCTCAGTTCCCGTCTCTCTCAAGGGCCTGAGCTCCCTTTCTATGGCCTCTCCGGTCCCTGGTTGCCCTTTTCTATTGTGCTTCCTGGAAGGTTCCTGTTATCTCAAATCTCCCATTATCCAAGCCTACGCTTTTGTAAAATCTCACTCAACACCCTGGCCAAGATTGCAAAACCCCGTCTCTACTAAAAATACAAAAAGTAGCCGGCATGGTGGCATACACCTGTAATCCCAGATACTTGGGCGGCTGAGACAGGAGAATTGCTAGAACCTGGGAGGCAGAGGTTGCAGTGAGCCGAGATCGCACCACAGCACTCCAGCCTGGGCGACTGAGGGAGAGGCTGTCTCAAAAAAAAAAAAAAAA